ACGGTTTAAAAGAAAGTGAAATAGTAGTGAAATAGTAGTGCTTGTGCTCTAATTCGATAACTGGACAGGTGTAGTTTGAAAATGAAGTCTGAATCAAAACAATCGCAGCTTTGAACGTGTTTACATATCGTCTTCATCGACAAAGACAACATCAAGCGAGTCATTTTCTTTATCTAAATATTCACTCCTTTGGCCTATTTTTAGTATTCTTTTTCAGTTCGCGAAATATTCATGTTTTTACGTTCGGTTTTAGCTGCCTGGTTTCATATCATACTGCCTTCAAAACGCACGAAATGCAGTCTCAGACAACCTAATCTTTCAAAATTTCCCGGGGGGGCATGCCCCCGGACCCCCCTAATAGCCTGTCTAAGGGCCTGCTAAATAAACTAGTCTGTTGTGTTATACAAACCAAACCGTGCCTGTGATGTTATTGAACACTAACAATGCAATCATTAAAGTAATTAATCGCTGTAAGCTCTTTTGAAATGCTAATTTGGTTCAGATTCAAGTTGTAAAGTTTTTAACTTAGGTATGTCGTCTTCTGTTGGGACCAATCATGTCAACGGGTTTATTTGGCTGAAATTAAACTTTTCAAACCGTTTTCAGTTGAAATGGTTGATAACTGTTATGTCGTGTTCTATTGTACGTGATCAAGCGTTTTCGGTTGGCTGAGTACGTTGAAAGGATTACAACCGTATCGACCGAAAACAGTTGGAAAAGTGTTCTTTTAGGAAACTTCAACCAATTCCACCGTTTTAACGTTTCCTTGATATAAGCTGAAGATTGGATCGATGTAGAAACTGAGCAATGTGGTTTCGGTATGTATATGCTGTTTCCTTTTCAAGTGGAGATGAACCACACTTATAAGGTTACGTTCTCGCGGCTCTTATGGTAAACCATTGGGAGTCCAAGTTATTATAATATTCTATGTATCAATCTGAATGGATGCTACGCTTCAACGTACCCGACCGCCAGAGGCTGGAATACGCAGCATAAAAACTGTTTCCACAAAATCTGGCTTCAATTAATTTGGAATGGTGACATGATAGCAGAATCAAGAAACTTAAAGATTAAACCCTAGTAAGGTATCCTGAACATTATATTTCAGTTTGAGTGTCTCCAAGACAGAGAAAAACAATGCAGATTATCGATGAACGCGTCATGCTTCGCAGTTCCACAAGAGCAGTCTGTCTAGGAATGATGAATATAGCTATGAATCCAGAAACACTTGCTTTGTTGCTTTGTTTAAACCGATACGCAAATGACGCTTACAGATAAACTTTGTATATTTAATTTGGCTCCTCGCTGTTACCTTTTGAAGTGGCCGGAAAGGCGGTAGGTTTCTTTTAGAATCACAGGTTTCAGAGATCACTAAAGGTTTCTACGCCCTTGCAGGGTAAACCAATTGGAAGCCAAGTTATTTTAATTTTCAATTAATGGCTGCTACGCTTCAACGTACCCAACCGCAAGAGGCCGGACAACCTACGCAAAATAAAAACTGTTTCCACAAAGTTTGACTTAAATGTTCGTGTTTAGCTATCCGAATCCCCGATCCGTAGAAGTGACGGAGTTACTGATATGCTTGTACGAAAAAAATTGAAAAGAACCCCCAAAGGTACCAGAAATTATTTTATGGGGGGGGGGGGGGGGGGGAGGGTGGCTAAAGTCTATTTTTACTCGAAAGATCTTAACAAGAGGTATAGACCCTTTATTGATGACTCATCAGTCGCAGTCAAAATAGACTATTCAGTTAAATGTCAACAACGACTACAGTCGAACCGCAATTAAGTGGCCACCTATTGATCGGCCACCCTCTATTACAGTGAAATCCACTAATGTACTTTAGTGTTAACTCAGACGAGACTGCCTGACTAAAAATAGAGGGGTTTTGTACAATAGATTTGGAACGCTTTCAAATTACGGTCTGTTAATTTCTCTCAAACAACTGAAACAATTGTTTCTGGGGGTCATCCTGCACAAATATCCTGCATAAATATTATGTTATTATTATTATTATTATGAATATCAGTATCGCAGAAGCCAAGATCATCAGACTTAATCGAACTGTCTGCCACATTTACATTTACAAAATGTTGCACGCGATTTTGCAGTCCCGAAATAAAAAGATAGATGTATATCCACCAGCATTTTCCACGATCAAACTTTGTTTAAGTTTCTATAACAGTAACAAAAGGAGAAACTACTCTTGAAAGAGATGTTATTACGAGGACATCTGCACGTAAACAATATTTTGGGCTTCTAGAAACTTCCAGCTGTTAAATGGCTTAATTGTTCAAGGGTTCAGCGATGTTTCAAAGAAATATTCGTTAAGGGTCAGAAAATTAGTAAAGAGGTTTCGGAGCCAGTCACGTAGGGATCAAGCAATTATGGAAATGGTCATAAACAGCCTTGCCTCAAAACCTATTTCTGGTGAAATGTATTCATGAGCAAGCAATTTGTTAGCAAAAGTTAGCAAATGCTAGCAAATGCTCCATTTACCTTACAAAGTCTTTAATATCATCAAAAATCCTTCAACAGAGAGGAGGTACATATAGCTTTAATTTGTTGAAATAATTTTAAAGTAAATTCCGGGAGATACACAAAATCGTCCGCCAAAAGTTCGGTGTTGTTTTATTCAAAAACCGCCTTACAGATTTTCACGAACTTTCGTCTACAGGTGGTCAAACTACCATACTTCAAAATATTATAAAATGGATGCAATGTTTCCGACTAGATTTCGAGAAAATCAGCCTTTTATAAAATCTATAGGATGCCGAAATCGTTGCTATGATAACCTCTGTTGCTAGGAAACCAGTGTAAAATAAAACTATCATCATATGTCATCATCATGGTGTAGTATGGCAAAAATCGAAGATTGCCTTCTCATCGAATTTTTGTTTTCAAAACTCTCACCCCATCGGTAAAAAAAACTACTTTTCAGTTGAGACCAACTATGTCGGGCAGCAACTGTTCTTGGTTGATTTGGTTGAAATTAAACTTTTCAAACCGTTTTAGGTTGAAATGTTTGGTGACTGTTATGTCGTGTTCTGTTGTACGTGATCAACAGTTATTCGGTTGGTTGGGTTCGTTGAAAGGATTGCGTTGAATATACTTCAACCGTATCGACAGGTGTTCTTGATTAAATCCACCGTTTTAACGTTTCCTTGATGTAAGCTGAAGATTGGATCGATGTAGAAACTGAACTGAAATGTGGTTTTGGTATTTGGTCGATTTTTGACACAGTATTGCGGTTTTTGTCGATTTTTGCTCGCGGTACACCAATGGCCCGCACCAACACGCCCAAATGGAACCTTCATTGTTTTGGTTTCCTGAAGTTGTTTTCATCCGTTTCCTGAAGTTGACCTTCTTCTGCTTATGCTCCGATCTGCTTCTGCTTCTGCTCCTTCCGTTTCCTGTTAAAATCAATGAACTTAACCATGGCATGAATAAATATGCTAATTTGTTGGATGTTATTTAAACAGACGATGTTTCACTGATCAATTCACCATCCACAGTGGTTACAAGAAACGCTTTAGAGTGTCCAGAAGTCTGCTACAATAAACTGTTGATTCTGTCTCAAAAGGTAATTCCCTTAACATGTATTATGTCCTTTAACTGAATGTTAAATACATATGTTCCTTTTTTATATGTTGATAACTGTTTTGTTGTGATAAACAGTTTGGTTGACTCGGTTGGTTGGGTCTGTTCGGTTGATTAGATTGAAACTGAAGGACTGTTGATGTTCTGGTTGATCAACCAAATCAAACGAAAATAGAACATAATGGAAGCTTAATTGTTTTCCGTTTCCTGAAGTTCTTTTCTTTCCGTTGTCTAGCCATAGGTTTCTTTGAACTTGGTGAAAACTATGAACGTACTTAACCATGACATGAATTAATATGCTAATTTGTTGGATGTTATTTAAACAGACGATGTTTCACTGATCAATTCACCATCCACAGTGGTTACAAGAAACGCTTTTTGAGTGTCCAGAAGTCTGCTACAATAAACTGTTGATTCTGTCTCAAAAGGTAATTCCCTTAACATGTATTATGTCCTTTTTTTTCTCAGCAAACAGTTTAGTGCTAAGAAAGTGTTTGCACATTTACAATAGGCACATAAAATACATCTAAAATTGTTCGCAAACTATAGTGACAACCTAACCGTGATTATGTATTTTTAAAGGAACATGAAGTGCCTTGTTTTCTTCATCGCGGCTTTGGGCCTGGCGATGGCATTTCCCGCAGCAAAGCCGGGGAAAAACACCGTTGCTGGTAAGTCTATCAGTTGTTGTTGGTAGTTACTTTGTTTTGCGAGTAACAATTCTGAAGGGGTTTTCAACAATGGCCGACTCTTAAAAGTTATTTTTCTGCTTGCTCTGTGTTCTTGGGTTCGATGAACGTTCGATAAATTTGTGCAACATCCGCTAACAAATTGAAGAAAATATTTCCCAAAACTTCTTTAAATTTGGCGCATTTTTCTCAGAGTTGCTTGTCATGGGTTAAATGTTTTTGTATCGAGGTCTGATGACAGTGGAAATCATTTCAAAAATTCAGTGTACAAGATGGCTTAAATTTTTTTTTACTGAACTGATCGCCAAGTTTTGACGATCAAAGTACTGATAGATGCTTTTGCTAATCCGATCGCGAATGGCGGATTTTTTTTAAATGGTGGAAATTTTGTGCCGGACATTTTGGCGAAATTTAGTTTCTTCTGAGTCCATCTTCTCATGAATTCGCGAAAATTAGTTCTCGCTAAATATATGGGGCATATTGCGCGAAAATTGAGAAGTATTTTTAAAGGGGCTATGTCACTCTATTTTGAGCTATACTTCCCTGTAATATATGGCGCATCTTGTAAAATCTTGCCTTTTTTTTCAATATTCCATCATTCATAATCCATCTCAATCTTCCCCAATCTCAACCATCCTTCTTCCCTTTTGGTTTATTATTACCTCTTTGGCGTTTCGCTGCCTTAGTAAATCTTTAGAGACGTTTGTGGGAGACGCGTTGGCCTAATGGTTAGTGCTTTGGACTCCGGATCGAGAGTTCCGGGTCCAAGCCCTGGCCTGGGTGACTGTGTTGTGTTCTTGGGCAAGACACTTAACTCTCTTTGGGCCTCTCCCCACCCAGGAGTATAAATGGGTACTGGCGAACTGTTAGGGCAACCTGACAAAATGCTGGGGGGTAACGTGCGATGGACTAGCATCCCCTCCGAGAGGAGTAGCAATACTCCTTGTCGGCTTCATGCTACGGAATCTGGGATAAGCTCCGGCAATTTGCGCCAGTTTGGCTTGAGTTTGGCATTACTGTACACGTAATTCAGTGTACATGTATTCTGCAAGAATGGTTATTGAACTTTAAATTAAAAATTACTTTAGAGACGTGTTCCTTGAGTACAATCAATCAATACACAGAAAACAAGAGCAAACATTCATATTTGTGTATGTACATGAAACCAAAATCCTTATATGTTAGTAGTGAGGGTAATTATTAATAGCCACTGACATGTCTGCTACTTTGCAGTAACCTGTGCAAGAATAAACCGGGCTGTATATAAATACATTGAGCTGCTACTATAGTGAAGAATTGTAAAGTACTTATTGAATGTTCCACTTTCAGGAAAATTTCAGATTTGTCTTTAATTCCAGCTATACTAATTTTCCAGACACACCTCTGAACGACGCTCAATTTACTTTCGAGAAAGAAGTCGAACAGACTTCCAACGGGAACTCAGGCGGAGTGAATGGCGGGATCGGCAACACCAATACCAATCATAAGAGGAAGTCATCTGGTAAAATATATTTTATTATTATAATTATTATTATTAGGATAGTGTTGTTAGCAGTATATTTTGTCAGTAATGTACCGTATTTCCTCTGTTTAGCCGAGAGCGTTTGGTCTACAAAAAGGTTGCACAAATCCGTGCAATATATATTTGCTCACTGAATCAATTGCAGGAAAAATAGACTAAGATTGATTTCTTTTCACTTGGCGCGTTTTTTCCGCGCTTACTTTGCACCGGTTGAAAGTTTCTGTTTCGAGTTCTGATTGGTTCATTGCTCTATCTGTGTTTGTTCTGATTGGCCAGCCGTAACATGCGATGACAAGCAAATTGTAATGATTTTGTGAAGTCCCTAAATTTGATTTTGTTACTCTGGTTTGTTTTCGTGTTGTTGTTGCTTTTCTCTTATCTTTTTGTTTTGTTTTTATTGTCATAATTGCTCAAATAAACTTGCTGCTAAATCAAAAGTAGGCGGACAAATTGCGGCCATGAGAAGATCTGTAAATACACAGAAAACAAGAGCAAACATTGATTCATATTTGTGTATGTACATGAAACCAAAATCCTTATATGTTAGTAGCGAGTGAGGGAAATTATTAATAACCACTGACATGTCTGCTACTTTGCAGTAACCTGTGCAAGAATAAACCGGGCTGTATATAAATACATTGAGCTGCTACTATAGTGAAGAATTGTAAAGTACTTATTGAATGTTCCACTTTCAGGAAAATTTCAGATTTGTCTTTAATTCCAGCTATACTAATTTTCCAGACACACCTCTGAACGACGCTCAATTTACTTTCGAGAAAGAAGTCGAACAGACTTCCAACGGGAACTCAGGCGGAGTGAATGGCGGGATCGGCAACACCAATACCAATCATAAGAGGAAGTCATCTGGTAAAATATTATTTTATTATTATAATTATTATTATTAGGATAGTGTTGTTAGCAGTATATTTTGTCAGTAATGTACCGTATTTCCTCTGTTTAGCCGAGAGCGTTTGGTTGCACAAATCCGTGCAATATATATTTGCTCACTGAATCAATTGCAGGAGAAATGGACTAAAATTGATTTCTTTTCACTTGGCGCGTTTTTCCCGCGCTTACTTTGCACCGGTTGAAAGTTTCTGTTTTCTAGTTCTGATTGGTTCATTGCTCTATCTGTGTTTGTTCTGATTGGCCAGCCGTAATATGCGATGACAAGCAAATTGTAATGATTTTGCGAAGTCCCTAAATTTGATTTTGTTACTCTGGTTTGTTTTCGTGTTGTTGTTGCTTTTCTCTTATCTTTTTGTTTTGTTTTTATTGTCATAATTGCTCAAATAAACTTGCTGCTAAATCAAAAGTAGGCGGACAAATTGCGGCCATGAGAAGATCTGTAAATACACAGAAAACAAGAGCAAACATTGATTCATATTTGTGTATGTACATGAAACCAAAATCCTTATATGTTAGTAGCGAGTGAGGGAAATTATTAATAACCACTGACATGTCTGCTACTTTGCAGTAACCTGTGCAAGAATAAACCGGGCTGTATATAAATACATTGAGCTGCTACTATAGTGAAGAATTGTAAAGTACTTATTGAATGTTCCTCTTGTAGGAAAATTTCAGATTTGTCTTTAATTCCAGCTATACTTATTTTCCAGACACACCTCTGAACGACGCTCAATTTACTTTCAAGGACAAAGTCACTCAGAATGCAAACGAGAACTCAGGCGGAGTGAATGGCGGGATCGGCAACACCAATACCAATCATAAGAGGAAGTCATCTGGTAAAATATATTTTATTATTATAATTATTATTATTAGGATAGTGTTGTTAGCAGTATATTTTGTCAGTAATGTACCGTATTTCCTCTGTTTAGCCGAGAGCGTTTGGTCTGCAAAAATGTTGCACAAATCCGTGCAATATATATTTGCTCACTGAATCAATTGCAGGAGAAATGGACTAAAATTGATTTCTTTTCACTTGGCGCGTTTTTCCCGCGCTTACTTTGCACCGGTTGAAAGTTTCTGTTTCTAGTTCTGATTGGTTCATTGCTCTATCTGTGTTTGTTCTGATTGGCCAGCCGTAATATGCGATGACAAGCAAATTGTAATGATTTTGCGAAGTCCCTAAATTTGATTTTGTTACTCTAGTTTGTTTTCGTGTTGTTGTTGCTTTTCTCTTATCTTTTTGTTTTGTTTTTATTGTCATAATTGCTCAAATAAACTTGCTGCTAAATCAAAAGTAGGCGGACAAATTGCGGCCATGAGAAGATCTGTAAATACACAGAAAACAAGAGCAAACATTGATTCATATTTGTGTATGTACATGAAACCAAAATCCTTATATGTTAGTAGCGAGTGAGGGAAATTATTAATAACCACTGACATGTCTGCTACTTTGCAGTAACCTGTGCAAGAATAAACCGGGCTGTATATAAATACATTCAGCTGCTACTATAGTGAAGAATTGTAAAGTACTTATTGAATGTTCCTCTTGTAGGAAAATTTCAGATTTGTCTTTAATTCCAGCTATACTAATTTTCCAGACACACCTCTGAACGACGCTCAATTTACTTTCAAGGACAAAGTCACTCAGAATGCAAACGAGAACTCAGGCGGAGTGAATGGCGGGATCGGCAACACCAATACCAATCATAAGAGGAAGTCATCTGGTAAAATATATTTTATTATTATAATTATTATTATTAGGATAGTGTTGTTAGCAGTATATTTTGTCAGTAATGTACCGTATTTCCTCTGTTTAGCCGAGAGCGTTTGGTCTGCAAAAAGGTTGCACAAATCCGTGCAATATATATTTGCTCACTGAATCAATTGCAGGAGAAATGGAATAAGATTGTTTTCTTTTCACTTGGCGCGTTTTTCCCGCGCTTACTTTGCACCGGTTGAAAGTTTCTGTTTCTAGTTCTGATTGGTTCATTGCTCTATCTGTGTTTGTTCTGATTGGCCAGCCGTAACATGCGATGACAAGCAAATTGTAATGATTTTGCGAAGTCCCTAAATTTGATTTTGTTTACTCTGCATGGTTTGTTTTTCGTGTTGTTGTTGCTTTTCTCTTATCTTTTTGTTTTGTTTTTATTGTCATAATTGCTCAGAAAAACTTCCTGCTAACTCAAAAGTAGGCGGACAAATTGCGGCCATGAGAAGATCTGTAAATACACAGAAAACAAGAGCAAACATTCATATTTGTGTATGTACATGAAACCAAAATCCTTATATGTTAGTAGCGAGTGAGGGAAATTATTAATAACCACTGACATGTCTGCTACTTTGCAGTAACCTGTGCAAGAATAAACCGGGCTGTATATAAATACATTGAGCTGCTACTATAGTGAAGAATTGTAAAGTACTTATTGAATGTTCCACTTTCAGGAAAATTTCAGATTTGTCTTTAATTCCAGCTATACTAATTTTCCAGACACACCTCTGAACGACGCTCAATTTACTTTCGAGAAAGAAGTCGAACAGACTTCCAACGGGAACTCAGGCGGAGTGAATGGCGGGATCGGCAACACCAATACCAATCATAAGAGGAAGTCATCTGGTAAAATATATTTTATTATTATAATTATTATTATTAGGATAGTGTTGTTAGCAGTATATTTTGTCAGTAATGTACCGTATTTCCTCTGTTTAGCCGAGAGCGTTTGGTCTACAAAAAGGTTGCACAAATCCGTGCAATATATATTTGCTCACTGAATCAATTGCAGGAAAAATAGACTAAGATTGATTTCTTTTCACTTGGCGCGTTTTTTCCGCGCTTACTTTGCACCGGTTGAAAGTTTCTGTTTCGAGTTTCTGATTGGTTCATTGCTCTATCTGTGTTTGTTCTGATTGGCCAGCCGTAACATGCGATGACAAGCAAATTGTAATGATTTTGTGAAGTCCCTAAATTTGATTTTGTTACTCTGGTTTGTTTTCGTGTTGTTGTTGCTTTTCTCTTATCTTTTTGTTTTGTTTTTATTGTCATAATTGCTCAAATAAACTTGCTGCTAAATCAAAAGTAGGCGGACAAATTGCGGCCATGAGAAGATCTGTAAATACACAGAAAACAAGAGCAAACATTGATTCATATTTGTGTATGTACATGAAACCAAAATCCTTATATGTTAGTAGCGAGTGAGGGAAATTATTAATAACCACTGACATGTCTGCTACTTTGCAGTAACCTGTGCAAGAATAAACCGGGCTGTATATAAATACATTCAGCTGCTACTATAGTGAAGAATTGTAAAGTACTTATTGAATGTTCCACTTTCAGGAAAATTTCAGATTTGTCTTTAATTCCAGC